GCCAAATCATGGAAGAATCTAGTGTTCCCATCGCCTTCCTTAATCCACTTGTGTCTAGATTTTTKTCTCCAACTGATTTCTTCCCTCAATAACACATAAATACTTTTGCAAAACCAGATTTCAAACACAAGTGAAATCCATTGCCGACAGTTTAGTTTTCAATCAGAGAGAGTATTTTGTCTAACGAAGGGGCCGATCCTATCACTATGATCATCCACTCAGGTGAATTCTTAGACTGCCCCAACATACCTAGGTATTTGACCCTTAATGAATCTCACTGGTTGGCATATCAAAGGCATCCCAGTCCAATACCTAGTGTAGTACCATAATCAAGTCTAGGGTTATGTGTAACTTTCCAGTTTTGCCCATTTATTTCTAAGGTTCAGGGCATAACTGGAAATTGGTCCGGTTTTAGTGCTTCTAATAAACTCCCATTGGCTGTGCTTGGGGTCTAATCCTAGCAGCTGAGACAAGCTGCTCCAACTCCTTAGCAACACACCAGTGTTAGCCTTGTTAGGATAAACTCCCCAAGTCTATCCAATGGCTAACATTCTAAACTAACACGAGTCTCTTAATTGTCCAGTTTAAGGGGTTATACACAGAAACATACCAATATTAACATGAAACAATAATGTACTTTATTCATTTACAAATGAATGTTTTTGTACATCAAACTGATTGGAGCTAAGGGCATACATTGTCTAACAGTCATATTCCTAACAATGAAAAAAAAAAAACTTCTTTACCACTCTGAATTGACAACAGACCTGAGAATTTTCCTTGAACAGAATGATACCAAGAATCAACACTGAAAAGATGGCTGCACATTTCATTCGAGTCACTTCGATACACTACCAGCGCTTGTCCATTTTTGTAACTGCTGTAGCAATCATCACCTTCAATTGCTGACCAGTATTGTTAGCATTCTACCTCCAGCCTTTCTCATCAACACTGAAAATCTTCACTAATAACTGATCGTACTGCTCCAAGCCTCCAACTAACATCTCATTCAACTGCTAAACTGTACTGATAGCATCTCCTAGCTGACCTTGTCGACATTGAATAACTTCACCTGTAAAGTTTGTTATTACCAGCAATCATATCCCTCTTTGATCTGTCAAATAGAGGGATCTGTGCCCTGATCACATGCAATCCACAACTACCACAGTTGAACATAGATAAACTACAGCTCCCTGTCCTCTGATCTGATTCCTTACAGGAGAATTAGATTTGGATACATGTGCAACAGGTCTAAGGAAAAAGGAAAGATCAATTGCAGCTCACAAGAGATGCTCTGTTGCCATATTATGTATCTTACAATCAATCTTAATATATTAGCATAATAACAAAGAAGAAAATAAACTGGAAACAAAAGGAGAAGAGGAATGATAATAAGAGAGGAGAGATAAAGAGAACAATGGGGTTCAATATCAGTTCCCCATCTACTCCCAAGTTATATTTATAATATGCAATTCTCTTACAAGTCTAAGGACAAGAAAGCCCCTACTTAAGTAACCTATAGAAAGTGGAGAGAATTAAACTACCCACTCTATTATTTAAACATATATATATTTCTAACTGTCCTTTTATATAATGACAATGCTTTCCATCAGAGCCTCCACAAAATCATTAGAGTTCTATATCTCCAATTTGTTTTCGATTACCTATATATGAATGCTTTTTTTATGGAATTTCTCATTTTCAACTGTATTATTGTCTATGTATTATGTTTAATTCCTAATGGTTTATATTTATTTTGCCCATAACGATGATATGCGTTAGTAAAGAGGTTATTTGCAAGTGGTCCTTTAGCTCAGGTGTCTTGTTATGGTCCATTGGTTTTATGTTATGCAAATGATAAGTTTTTCAACATTTTTAAATGACTATCTTTTTTTTTCTCAATCCAAAATTCAGGTATGTCTCATTCTGGTTGGTGATTTTTGCATGTAAATTCACCTTTGCATACTTTCTCCAGGTAACCTATGATCCCTTGAGTTACATTCTTATTTTATCACCAAGATGTATGAACAAGTGGATGTACTATTCATGGCTAACATGGACTTTGCTATCTTTGTTGTGTCATCTGACAGATTAAACCATTGGTCCAACCTTCCAATATTATTGTGGGCCTCAAAACCTTAAACTACTCATGGCATGATCTTATCTCAAAGAGTAAGCCCCATCCAACCCCACCCACCTAAAAAAAAACAGAAAAAGGAAATGTGCTCATTTTCTGTTGTTTCTATTGTTTGCTTATTGATTTTGGGTGCATACTGCTAACGAGATCCTGCACTTTATTCATATTGAATATTATTATGTTTAAAAAGAAAAAGGCTATCACCATCATCATTTATTATTTCTTTTCTACAATTAACAAAATTCTTATTTCAGTTACAGGAATTAGGATATTTAAAAAAAAATTCTAATAATGTTTACCATTTAGGTAATTAAATGAATATTGTAGCGTTTAATCTAAATTAAATGGAAAACCTAGAGTATCATAAGCGGGAAACAAACGTATGTGTCAAGGTGAAGAAATTCTGCCAAAAGCAGGGAAAACCAAAATAAATTAAACAAGTACATTAAATCCACTGAGCATCGACATTTACAAGGTCTTAAGTTGGTTGAAATGGGCACCAAAGGCCAAGCAATCCAAATGTTCAAACTGAGGATGTATAATGATTAACGACCAATCATTCATCAAAGAACAAAGCTATTAATGGAACTGATGTCCATTTATCCCATTTTGAAGTCATTGGTATGCTACCCAGATAGGAAAGGACTTGGCTATGGTGTCAGATATAGAATTAACACTAAAAATTGATGTATCCAACACAATACAGCACCTTGGTGCAGGTATCTGGGCGTCATACTTGTTGCTCAGAGTATTTGTTTAGAAATACATCAGATATAATTTTTTCTTTTTATCAATTTGCCATTTTTTCTATGGTCATTAATGGTCTATAGTTGATGCAGTATGTACTTGGTAAGGCATGTGATTGTACTGAGCTTAATCCCCTTTATGTTTAGATGGTAATATGTAATTTGTCTTCAATTTTGCTAATTAATCACAGTTTTCTCAAACATTTTGCAAACTTTGGAATTACAATGACCTGCATGATATTTGATTTTTGTGTAATTTCACCAGGTCTCTTGATCATAATGATATTTTCTTAATTTTCTTGTCATCACATTGCTGATTTATGCTTGTGACAATTTTTGGCAGACAATAGTAATGCCTTGACGATTGCTAGCCTATGGGCACCTGTTGTTGCTGTAAGTATTCTTTTTTTTTTAATTATTTTTAATTTTAGCTTCATAGTTTATGAGGGAATCTACCAGTGAGATGGTGTGTCTTGGTGAAAGCCATTGTTGAAACTGAGCATCCACCTACACGTCCAATCTCCAAAGCATCCACTCCATTCACTTGGTTTCATCTTCTTGCACTGACAATGTACTTCACAACTCTGTATACTGGTCTTATCCATCTACCACAGTTTTCTTTTTTTTTTTTTTTTTGAGGGAAAGGTAACGAATTGAATTAGTCAACTCAAAAAACATATATAATGCACTTAAAAAAACATATACAATTTCCCTGCTCAATAAGGCACTGTGGAGGAGCCATCTACTACTAGTCAGCTCTAAATCCTAAGTTGATTCCTATTTTGCATATTAGCCAACCATCATCATCACTACACTCATCAATTAACTATGTATATGAAATTTGAGACACAAAAAATCGTCATATTCATGAGATGATAGAAATTTAAATATATTAATTTCTTTTTTTTTGATAAATGAGTAGATTTTATTAAACCAGCAAATAAGAGTTACATGCAACCCATGGAAGGGCACGAGATGCAACCTTTCCTTTAAAACTAGTTACAGAATTATAAGTACAAAAGAAATTACACAGAAGCCCAAAATAAAGTAGCCCAAAGAAACCCCCAGTTTTGTAAGTGAATCAGCCATTGAGTTTGCTGATCTGCCTACCCACTGAACTCTGATTGTCATATTCCTTGTTAGCCATTTAACCTTTTTGAGAAGATCTCTAAAACCCTATATCACAGTGTTCGGGTCCTTCAGCCAAACCACTATCACCTGGGGATCCCCTTCAATAATCAGATGCTCTATGCCTAGCTGATTTGCAAGCAGGATTCCTTGTACAGCAGCAAGTAATTCAGCCCTTAAAGAGTCTCCCACACCTGCAAGACCTGAGTACAAAGATATAATGCTACTGTCTTTGATTCTCAGCACTCCTCATATGCCTGAAGGTCCTAGATTTCCTTGGCTACTTCCATCAAAGTTCAGCTTAATAAACTCCTCCCCTGGTGGCACCCATTCAATCACATGTCTGTCCTTCCTGGTAGAAGTATTAGCCACTGCTAATCAGCTTTTCCATAGGTCATCAAAAGAGTATGCTTCAAAGAGCTTTAGAGTTTTCAGCCACGGAATTGCCCGTGTCAGAATACGTTCTTTAACTTCCGAGTTTCAAGTATAATATTGCAGCAGCAACAACAAATATTCAATAAAGCAACTAAATTAAAAACTTAACTAATTAATATTATAAGTACGTCCATACCAAGGAGGGGTCATCAGAGACAAGGAAGGAAATTTAAGAGCACTCTTCTCAGGACCAGTGGGGAATGGAGACTCCTTAAAGGCAGAACTGTGCACAGCCCTACAAGGCGTACAGATTGCAAGAGAGTTAGGATTGGAAAATTTGGTGATAGATGGGGACTCCAAGGTGGTGGAAAATTTGGAAAAAACCCAGATTCGGTGATTTGGGCTTACAGAAATGAAATGAAGAAATTCAAATGGATAACTCAGCAGATGGATGTAACTATACAATGGGTGGGGAGGGAGGCAAATGCTTTTGCTGATTCTCTAGCTAAACAAGGAGTAACTAGGGATCAGTTGTACTGGGCCAACTTGTAACTTTTTGATGTTTCTGTATTAATGAGTGAGGCTGCACCTTGCACCTCATATTGGGATGCTTGTAATGGACTATTTATCATCTGCTTCTAATGAAATCAATTGAATTTTTATCTATAAAAAAAAGTATGTCCATACCAAGCATCCCCTAACATAAGTTTTCACATAATTTATCTTGAAACGTCCTAAAAAGAAAAAGAAAGATTCGATTGTAAAACAGAAATAGATATAAAAACTATGAGAGTTATAATTATTTGGATCTGGAGTCTATAAAGAATGTGGGAGATGTTTCAAAAGAAAGTGGGGTGACATTGAAGCTTGAAAAGGAGTTTGAAGAAGAATGATTGGTGGGAGGTATTTTGTGGGGTTGATAGTCATGGAATATGGGGTGTTTTCAATTGAATTTTGGGCAGTTGTGTCTTTTTTTTAAAGAATAAGATAAAAATTCATTAGGAAAAAGAAAATAGAATACAATAGGAAGGTGATAAGACATCACCCAAGAGGAAACAGATCCAAAGAACCCAACAAAGATCTCAAGAGTCCCATACTAAAACCCAAAAAATCAAAACTGACAAAACTTAAAGCTTTTCTTAAAACAATCTCAAGCGCAAGCTAAGAAAACAAACCAAAAAATCCCCATGAGAGCAAAAGCATCCAAACCCACCCCTAAACAGAAACTTAAACCCTCCTTGCTCCACAACCAAAACCTCAATTTTCCACCACAAACTCGTCCTCCCGGATTGAAACATCTTTGCCCCAACGCTTGTCGCCTCTGTGATGAGTGTTTTTGCTCACCTTCTCTTCCCTTTTCCTTCTTTCAAACTCCTCAAAAGCCCTTCTAGCAAACTCCTCAGTCCTCATCACCCCAAAAACAAACCTAGTCTCTTTCCAATTGTGACCTCTCTACCCACCAGATTCTGAAGAGTCCCATGTCCTGTCTTGTTATCAATGCCATCGTTGTTTTTCATTGTCTCGCTCTTACCAGAAGCAGAGTCATTAACACTCAGTTTGTTCTTCTGTTGCTCCTTTCGTGAATGGGGGGACACAGGCTGGCATTGCATCATTGTCCCCCTGTTTTCAGTGCCAGATGCCCTATTGCCTCTTAATCTTTTCCTCTTATAAACCCATTGTAGTTTTACGTGAGGCCTGCCCCCGCCAGACTAAGTTTTAACCTGGAGAATATCTTTGTCACATATACTGTGTTAAGATTTTTCGAACTATGTGATATCTTGTTGATTGCATTACGTATCTGGTTCTCTTCCTTTTCATCAAGCTTGCTCCTACGGCCCAGATCTACACCCAATCTTCCTGCCTACACCTCCTCGGATTGAAAGATGCTAAGGCATGATGTTGGGGTGTGGGGGAGGTTAGTTACTACTATAGAAGGGGTTTTCTGGCTTTAATCTGGGGGATTCATGTGTCTAGTTTTCTCATGGGGGTTTCTGTTTGTCTTATTTCATGTGTTGTTATCTTGGGTGATTTCTTATCATGTTTTATTCTTTTGTCTTTTTTCCTTACTGAGAAATTCCATTTTACTACAAAAGGAAAATATTTTTGCTCCATGCATTTTATAGTGTGTGGTTTACTTGACCAAGAAAGATTGTTCTGTTGAATTATGACTTAATGCTTTTGGACATTTACTTATTGTATAGTTTGGTAACCACTTGTCTTGTATTTTCTAGATCTATCTTATGGATATCCATATATGGTACACAGTGTTATCTGCTCTTGTTGGTGGTCTAATGGGAGCCCGTGCTCGTTTAGGAGAGGTAATAATACATTCAATTATTTTGAAATTAATTATGCTTGATCTTTTATAAGTTTTAGTATTGCTGGTTATATTCAGTTTATACTTGTTTATCATTATCCTGAATTCCTAAATAAATAGTTTTGATTCTTAGTTGTTTAAAAGACCAGCAATGACTTATATTCTATTTTATCATTGATAAAAAAGACTTAAAATTCTATTTGTCACAGATACGCTCAATTGAAATGGTGCATAAACGCTTTGAGAACTTCCCAGAAGCCTTTGTTAAGACTCTTGTATCTTCCCAGACAAAAAGGTATTAACTATTCATTCACCTAAGAGTGGATTTTGTACCTCCTGCTTTTCTCTTACATTTCATTAGGGTGACATTATGCTTTTTTTTTTTTTTACTAACAGGCTGCCCATTGATAGGCAATCAGCTCAGGTGAGGCTTTATTTTTATGCTTTAGGCTTTGGGGATTGCATTTTCTTCTAGCCATGATGATAATTATGAGTCTATCTGAAGGTTTCATTTAATTTTGTCATGGTTTCTTTATTCCCTTTTCTCAAATGAGACTAGGAAGACACTACCTTTTTGAGCAAAATTATATTCTATCTAAATTCAACTTGTCTCAGAAATTCAACTTACTCTTTGAAGTACCAAAATTATATTCTATCTAAAGTATTTTTTAAAGAATTCATCCTTTTATTTGGGGGGGAGGGAGGTGAAGGTTGTTGTTCTCAAAGGTGCAGCCTACCAATTAGTTTCCTCATTTCTGACCTAACTGAATCAGTTGATAGGACACAAACAAGCTTTGATGTCTTACATCCCCTTTAACTTGACTATTGGATGTCAAGTTAGTAAAGTCTATAATATAGCTGGACAAAGGTTTAGTCTAGGTTTCTAGGATCTTTGGTCTCTGGTAGGGTGGCTAGGTCTTCATGGACCTATGAAGTATCTTATCCAACAAGTGGCAATGTTGTAATATCTTTATAAATGAGTTATAAGCCTCTTTAATCCTAGAGAGATTTAAGAATCTACATGTGTCTGCTAACTGTAGATGCATCTCCAATCTTAGATGGTTAGTAAAGGTGGCAAATGCATGAGTTAGATGTGGGTTGAAGGCCAACCCATCCACCAACCGCCCATATTTATTAGATGGTTGCATACTGCATTCTAACTGAACCCACCCATGTTGATGCATGTGAATATTTAGTTCCGTGTAATTACATTCTTATTGAGAAAAAAGATTCTCAGTTTCTCGTATAATGCCACATGTCCCTATCGGGTTTGTTCAATCCAAACATTAAAATTAGAGTTCATTAAAAAGTTAGAGAGAGAAAGTAGATAAAGAGGAACAAGAGAACGCAGGGAGAGGAGAGAGAAACATAGGAGGGAGGAGAGAGGAATATAGGAGAGAGAAGATAGAATAAGAGGGAGAATGGGGAGGAGAGAGAATGGGTGTGAGAGAGAGAAGTGAGAGGAGAGGGAATCAGGAGTAGAAAGAAGAAAGTGAATTGTGGGAATAGAGAAACTTGGGGGAAGAGAGTGGAGAATAGAGAATAGGTATTTTTATGTAGTACCTACACCCAAAAAAAGTAGGAGAGGGAAATAGTGAGGAAAAGTAGGAGACAGAAATAAGAGGGAGAATAGGGAGGAGAGAGAATGGGTGGGAGAGAGAGAAGTGAGAGGAGAGGGAATTGGGAGTAGAGAGAAAAAGTAAATTGCAGGAATAGAGAAAATTGGGGGAAGAGAGTGAAGAATAAAGAATAGGTATTTTTATGTAGTACCTACACCCAAAAAAAGTCATGTAGTACTAAGAAACCTTCTTTAATGTGGATGGCCCAAATAAATACCCATAACCCAACTTAACCCAACTCTTTTTACTTGACCCAATGGGTGACTAAACCCATATTGAACTCACATCTTAAATGGGTGGGCTTGGGTGGGTTACAAGTGGATGGGTTGGGTTGGGCTAGAAATTGCTACCTCTATTGGTTCTTGATTCCTTACGGTTTAACCATCAAATTTAAGCTAATAGTTGACTAACTAGTAGAGGAAATGCAGGGGCAATTAGGAACCTGGCAAGACAAGAATTTGCAATAGAATATCACTGTTTAAGAAGAAAGGCAACTAAAATGCATCTGAAGGCCAAAGTCCTATATCCAATATATGGCTTTGATAGGAACCAGTTCAAACACCTCTAAAAGGTGTCTTGATTTTGAGAAACTCAGGAATATTGCTATGAAACCACCTAAAAAACATTGTATACAAGGCATATTCACATGATTCTGCACTGTAAATTGAAGGGCCTTTGGGGACATTCCAAGAATGTCAGCTGTTCTTTGGGGCATCATATTGTGTGAGTAATACAAGATTTTTGAGAATAAATGTCTAGATACAGATGCATCATCAGTCGTTTCTAATCAGCCTATTGGGTGCTGATTAGAGAAGAATTTAGAGGTATCACAATAGATTCTATTTTTGGAGGCATGAAATAACTACAGTGTGCTAAGGCACCTGATTTGGGGGGGGGGCATCGAATTGAATTTTGATGGCAGCTTCTTTGCAACCCAGGTCAATTGGGTGTTATGGGAGTTTTTAGGGACCATGAAGGGAAAATTATTTGATGATGTATAGGCCTTGTATGTATTTTGTATATTCTCTTTGGAGACATTGTTTTCTTAGGTGTTCTCTCAATACCATTTTCTCCTTTTGTACTTCATTTCAATATTTTTTTTGCTTCTCATCTCAACCAACCAAGAAAAAAATACAGCTGGATGCTTTATCTATGTGGTACGTCCACAGGTTCCATTGTTTTATATTTTGCTCACTCAACTAAGTCTTATCCCAACTATATGGGGTCAGCTACATGAACCCTGTTCTGCCATTCCGCTTTGTTCAGTGCTATTTTCTTTATTTTGTAGTTAATGTAAATGTTTTCTTACCCATTAAGGATGAACTGTTGCATGTTGATTTAGGACTCCCAGGACATGAACAAGACATATGCAGCTATCTTCTCTCCTTTTTGGAATGATATCATCAAAAGCTTGCGTGAAGAAGATTATATTAGTAATCGGTAAATCATGTATCCAAGCATGTTTCTAGTAGAGCAAGGGTTCTTTGGTACTGTTAATATTTCTCGTTATTTGTTCTCAGTTATTTCTCCCCTTTACAGTGAGATGGACCTGCTCACCATCCCAAGTAACACCGGAAGCTTGAAATTGGTTCAATGGCCTTTGTTTCTTTTAAGCAGTAAGGTATTCTTTCTTGAGGCATTACCTTTCACTTGTCTTCACATCTCAATAGCAACTTCCTTTTGTTGCTAATAACTCTTTTCTCAATCTTCCAGATCTTTTTGGCTTTGGATTTAGCTGTGGACTGCAAAGATACACAGGCTGATCTATGGAAGCGAATATCTAAGGATGAATATATGGCCTACGCTGTTCAGGAATGCTATTACAGTATTGAAAAAATTTTGCATTCTCTGGTTGATGGTGAAGGGAGATTATGGTATGAATCTTTTGCTATTTTCTCTGCTTCTGTTTGTCAATGTATGCATCTGGGTCCAAATCCAATTATGTTTTGTATGGTTTGGAAATTATGTACTTGACTCATTACTTTCTGAATGTAGGGTTGAGAGGATCTTCCGTGATATTAATAACAGTATATTGGAGGGCTCACTTGTTATAACATTAAATCTCAAGAAGCTTCAAGTGGTGTTAAATAGGTTTACAGCATTGACTGGGCTCCTGGTATTTATTATCCTTGCTTGTATTATCCTGTTCACTGTTTTTTTTTATAGGAAATTAGCTTAGCAGTATTGTTGATATTCTACTTGGTGCATCTGAGTATCTCATGCATTATGTATATCAGGTTATTGCTTATCCTAAAAAACAAATTTCCTTCTTTTCTTTCCTTCTTGGGTATGTAATCAATCCTCATTCTCCATATTCTTTTCTCCTATCACTATGAGGCACTTGGTGTTTGAGATTTATTGCCCCTTTTGTCTTTGAAATGATTCCTGGTCTTCTTTTTTTGTTTTTTTTTTCAATAATAATTTTCTTGTAAGAGTGAGCATAGTCTATTCTGGAGCCTTAACTTTCATAATTTTTATAGGTGTAAGTTGGAGGAAATTGCCCCATTATCCATGTCTTTCCAACAAAAAGTGAGTGAAATGCCCGCTTGGAGCTAACCAACAGGACTGAGGATTCAAATCCAGTCCTGTCATAACAGTTCACAACAAAGGCAGTTTTTTATTGTCAAAAACAACAAAATACCACCTTTGCATATATTGTCAAAAACAACAAAATACCACCTTTCCAACAAAATACAACAAAAACAACAAAGGCAGTTTTTCAATCCTGATGCAGGTGTGTGAGTGTGCATACTTTGCGTATATATTCACCCATCAAGGTTGAAAACACCAGTTTTTCAAGCCTGATGCAGGCACATTAGCACGTTCGCTTACGCGCATTACACACATTACACGCAGGTGTGTTATGCACCTGCATATACATGCATACACATGTATACACATGAATCCTTCTTCCATGCATTATTGCTATGTGGTTGCTGTTGTTTCTTGCGAAAGAGCTTTCGCTCTCTACCTTTTCATCTAGATCTTCCTTTGCTTGGGAAGAGATGTTTGTGGAAGGATTAATACCCAAGATTTTCTGTAGAAGAGGATCATACTTTCTTCCATACTATTGGATGAAGGTCAGGTTTGGTTTGACGCTTGCCTGTGCAAACCCAACCCATTGGACATTGTAGCACTGGATAGGAGGGGATGGGTTCGGTTGGAGTGACTTCAGGTTGGTTTCAGTTGATCAAAACTTATGGTCAAACCTGACATCCTTACATACCCCTGCATTGTATGTTACTATGGTGGCCTGGCAGCTTTGGCACTAATTTTTGGGATATTCAACCCAAGTCCAACTTGACCCAACCAAACACATAGGATACTGAACTAGCCCAACCCATCCCATATATAGTACACCTATATATTCATCCAAGATTATCTATACAGGTGTTTCAATGCTGCAATTTCAGTTGGTTGGCTTTGGTTTGGGTTCACCTCAACCTGAACCTATCCCAAAACCCAATTAAGGCTGATCCAACCCTAACTTGATAGGTCTGAGTCGATGTGGTTTTACTACTCAACTCGATCCACTGACATCCCCAACTATCTTATTGAAAATTTGATATCAGGGGGAATCTTGTAAGGTTGATGTGTAGATTCATTGGATTTCTTAACAGTTGACTGTATTTATTGATGGTCTTGCAACTTTTGCACCCTATGTCTGATTAGTTTTTTCTTTAGGGGTTGAGCTGCCTGTCTATGGTTTTTGTTCATTCTACCTCTGCATGCATGGACTATTTTTGACGTAGAATACAATGCATTTTACTTCCAAAAAATGATTGAAATTAGTTGGATTAATTAATTGATACAAGACAATCTCAAATGAACAAAGTGAGGGATCATGAGCAAGGATTAGCATAGGACCAGGCAAACACGCCCCTACCCAAGCATAAGAAAAGATAGGGCCAGGCCTGGGTTAACATGCAGGCCCATTTTGGCTGGAATCAGGCTGACCTTTGCCCAGCCTGGCCTATTGATATTATATGTTTTATGTATTAAACAAAAGATGATATCAAAGCTGACCTTTGGGCTGGAATAAGGCAAACACACCCCTACCCAAGCATATATGTTTTGTATGTTTTTGTGCTAGATATTGAGATTGAGTCTGTTTGTCAACATATTTTATTACATTTACTTAATTATATATGCCATATTCCATTTTTTATATTTGTATATTAGTGCATATTAATTCATTATTACCTTGAGTTCATGCTGATCTCAAACTGTTAAGGCCCAGCAATGCCCATCCTTAATTATGAGTGAATTATACTCTTTATTGGTGGCAAAATGGAAACTAAAGATAAAGTATGCATAAGTTATATTGAAAGAAATTACAAGGTTTCAAAGAACCAAAAGTGCAGAGGGAAATGCTATACATGTGGCCCAGAAAATTAGTAAGTTAATTGGCTTGGTTTTGATGTAGACATGATCAAATTAAATGTCATTTCTGTTCTTTGTTTTCTGTGACAGATTCGAAATGAAACTCCTGAATTATCTAGAGGTGCTGCAAAAGCTGTATATGACGTGTATGAAGTTGTTACACATGAGTTACTGTCATCTGATTTAAGGTACAGTAGAATACATGCAAAATAATTGATCAAATATGTTCTCTCTCTCTCTCTCTCTCTCTCTCTCTCTAAATTCATGTAATGCAAGCTTTCAAGAGTTCATAGTGAACCTTTGCATCATTCAGGGAACAATTTGATACGTGGAATATTTTAGCCAGAGCTAGAAATGAAGGTCGTCTATTTTCCAGGATAGAATGGCCAAAGGATCCAGATGTTGTATGTATCTTCTTGATCTGTTTTGTACATTGTTATTTATTCTTCAATTGCATTTAACTGAATCAATTAACTGATTTCCTAACCACAGAAGGAGCAAGTGAAGCGATTGCACCTACTTCTCACAGTGAAAGATTCTGCTGCTAATATTCCCAAGAATCTTGAAGCAAGGCGAAGGTTAGAGTTTTTTACAAACTCTTTATTCATGGAGATGCCTTCAGCAAAGCCTGTTAGTGAAATGATTCCTTTCAGGTATTTACCAGAAAATGAATTAATGGAATTATGTGTTTTTGTTATTTTTATGGTCATTTTCTGATGCTTTTCTAATTTCTTGTTTTGTTTGAGCATAGTGTCTTCACCCCATACTACAGCGAGACTGTGCTCTATAGTTTGTCTGAATTGCAAAAGGAAAATGAGGATGGAATATCTATTATTTTCTATCTTCAGAAGATATTTCCAGGTAAGTTTTATTCTCACCTCAGTACATAAGCTGATTTCCCCTTCTGTAAGGAATGCTATTGTTTCAAGTAATTATTATTTTATACCTGAGTGCTGTCAAGTCTGTTATTTTCTTATTTGACATTTGGATTACCATGAATTCATTTAACTTGTTGCCACAGAAATCACTACAAGGTAATGCCTTGTTTAGTGTTTGTCCATGTACAATAATGAAAATGTGAAACCATCCCCTAAAAGTTATAAAATTGGAAAAGGATATTGTGATATTGGATTTTTTGAATTCGTTCTGATGCTATTTCTGTGTTTGCCAATATTTCTTTCCTTTTATTACTATTTTCCCCATGCTGATGAATTCTGTTATCTATCACAAAATTATAGAAAGAAGGATGTTATAGAATTGGAAACACCAAAACATCCAAGACTTCAAAGTTCAAACAGCATGGTGTTTCATCCTTGTATTTCCAGGGAATGTTTCTCTTCTTTATTTTTTTTATAAGTAAAATAAATTTTATTAAAAAGAAAAAATAAGTTACAAAAGAAGGCGACAATTCATCACCCGAGTACAAAGACCAATTTTCAGATTAGAGAACATTCCCCACATTACATATCTGATAATCCAGGACCTCTCCTAACCTAAAACCAAAGTCTTTTTTTTTTCTAGTTGATTGAACTCTGGAAGAATCAGCAGCCAATCTATCACTAATCTACCCACAGCCACAACCATCTTGTCCAGGCTGCAAGCTTTGTCTTCGGAAGTCCTTCTGTTCTTCTCCTTCCAAATGTTCCAGCAAATTGATGGGATACAACTCCATAACATCTTCACCTTCTTACCCCACTCAGCCTGGGCAATGAAGATGAGGGACTAAAACCCAAAATGTAAGAAGGCATCATTTATTCCATTGTTGATTGAATGAAGCATGTAGCATGCACCACTGTGATCCTTGAGGATTAGAGCCAACAATAGTCATTGCTATAGTTCTTGTGTCTCAAGAATGTTTTGGTTACTGTTGAACCCTTTGTGTGTCTATATAAATTTCTTTGAAAATTAATATGTATTCTTTCATTTCATCATCATCATCCAAGCCTTGTCCTAAATCCTAACTAAATGGGGACATCTACACGAATCCTGTTTTGCCATTCTGTTCTATTCAGTGCTATATCCATCATTAAATTATTGGTGCTTAAATCATTTCTTATTACTCCACCCAAGTCCTTTTTGGTCTACCCCTAGCTCTTCTAGCCCCTTCAACTTGTAACAAATCACTTTTCCAACAGGTGTTGTAGATGGTCTTCTAACATCACCAAAGCATCTCAATCTACTTTCTCTCATTTTATCACCGATTGGAGGTACTCTTAGGTTTCTTTGTATGACTTCATTTTTGGTGTTGTCCTTCCTAGTTTTACACGCATCCATTTATCACCTGTTGAACCTACCAACAGAAGTAAATCTGCTTTTTGGTCTGTCTACTTTTATTTGGCCCACAAAGAGAGGGAGAATTATGTGGAAATGTAACAGAGCAGCTCTATCATGGACTCTTTGGGAAGAAATGAAAGCAAGAACATTCCAAGAAAAGGAGAGAAGCCTTTCGGAAGTCAAGGAGTGTGTTTTGACAAGGGTAATACATTGGTTGAAAACCTTGGATGCCTTCCACCTTTTTCCTTTTCTTTGGAAGAATTGGTCAGCAGTGGCTAATAGCTCCTCCAAGGATAGTATTAATGTAGCATGGGTACCTCCTCCTGAAGGTTTTGTAAAGCTTGTTGTAAGGCTTATTTAATTGTTACTTTATAGCTGCTGTTAGTAGGCTGACTTCTTAGGATACTGTCAGCTAGTTACTTGTCTTTTTTCCTTATTATTTTTAGTTCTAAGATGTGCCGCTAGGGGCATACTTGTAATTTCTATTCCTTTATTAAGTTAATATAAATAGAAGACTGGCGACAGCCAGTAGGATCTTTTTTTCTCTCAATCGTACCTCTCTCTCTCTCTCTCTCTCTCCCACTCTCCATAAATCATTACATGGTATCAGAGCAGGTTTTCTGGGCTGTAAAAGACCTACGATCCCTCCTG